TAGACGCCGTCAGCTAATTCTCATTCTATCTCAGATTTACAAAACTGTATCGAATTTATCGCGCTCGAAGAGTAGGGACCAAGTTTCGTCCATATCTTTAACATACGAGCTCTACTCTTGACATTCTTGATATCCACGCGTAGGTAAAAACAAGATCTAAAACTTTCATTTAGACTCCGTCGGCTAATTCTCGACCGATCTTAAATTTAATAGTAGGAGGAGATTATACTGTTAAATGTCCGCGTAAAATTCATAACTTCTACATACGGACTCCGCTTTCGTCTGTATTTTTACCGTTGAGTTCCTATTAATGAGATCTTCAACTCTCATTTAGGTCGCGTAGGCCAAAAACCGCTCGAACTAAAATTCGAGTTTCGGGCCGTGCACTATTGTGCGAAATCTTAGAAAATTCATAACTTCCTCATACGAAGTTAGATTTGGACGTTCTTTTTTTTGTATGTTCTCGGTTTAACGTATACTACAACTTTTGTTTAGATCACTAAGGCTAAAAAGTCTTCTACCGTAAATTCATTATTTACGTCTCCCGGTGCCGTGCCGGTTTTGCCATAAAACTTCGACGGGCCATAACTTCTTCGTTATAACTCGGATTTCGGTGTTCTTTATATGTACGGAACCCTTGTAACATATACTACAAATTGGTTAAGATTAATCCTTCTAAATAATCTTCCATAAAAAACTCATTTTTGATGCTCACCGTCTCTAAATTGACTAGCCCGGATCTGCGGGCGTTACACATCTATAGGTACTAAGTCCATTGCTGCCAATGTTTACCTATAGGGCACTATGTCCATACTGCTAGTGTTCCTCTAAATCAGCTTTCATCCCTCATCATTTATCTACCCATGTTTTACCCAACATATTTTGTAGATATAAAATACATATACAGTTTAAATCATTTTAAACATGTATAAAATTGTTCATCCAACATAGATAGCAAGTATACAGATAATATGCTGTCACACCCCCAAACTGGAACGGCGGAAACGTTCGGGGGCGGAGGACGTCATGTAAGTATCACAACACATGCATTATAGTAATCAAAGTACAGCCAACCATTGCATTAATAGGTACAAGTTTTACATAGGTATTTTAAATATTTCAAATTAAAACATCAAAGTAGATACAGAAGACAACAGGAGTCGCAAGTACGGTACTAAGCAGTCTCCTCAAAAGCTTCGGGGGTGTACCTGTCTACTAGAGCCCTGAGAATACAAGTAAGTTTTGAAAGAGTATCAACATAAAGCTGGTGAGTTCATAAGCATTTTGTTTTTAGAAAGACGGTTCTTTTGAAAAGTGCGATATCTTTCCCAGAAAACCTTATACTATCTGGTGTAATAAATGTATAAACCTTAAGTCAAATAATCTTTTGGTATCTGTTGAAAGTGTTCCTCAAGAAAATTCCCTATTTTCTTATGGAAAGCATGATTAAACCCATTTCTTCTATGACTTCTTGGTTCATCCTAGTCACGCATAAACCAAGGAGTTATGAAGGAAATATGAATATTCGTTAGTTGATTAATAAACCATCTGTTTATAAAATACTTATGTTTACCTTGGGAAATCCTACATTTCCCTTATGTGAAAGTTATTGAATTACCCGTTCTAAATCGGAAAGTACAAGTATCTACCATACTTATATCGTTTAAGCATTATTCCTTTTTGAAAACCCTGGTTACTCCTAGTGATGTATATTAGTCTTATTACATAAACAAAACTAATTAAAGAGCGAAAGTATCTACCATACTTATATTGTTTAAGCATTAGTCCTTTTGAAAACCCTGGTTACTTCCAGTGATGTATATTAGTCTTATTACATAAACAAAACTAATTGAAGAGTGAAAACCTGTAAACCAATGATTAGTTTATACTTATTGTGAGTCGTATAACCATGCTTGATATGACCTAGAGACCTTTACAACGTTCTTCAAGTGTTGGTTAAATGACATTTGTCATCCCAGGCATGCCTGCCTAACTGTAGCTAGCAGTTCAGGTGTGGGATTGCCAATCCCGAATAGATCTATTCACAAATCTCACGCTCTCCCTCCAGGAGACTCTGGTTATACTAGGATAGGATTTAATTCAGTACACCTAAGGGTACAATTTTGAAGTAGAGCCTCACAATCCTGTATAATCTAGTTTACATTTAATTCAGTTTTATTCTCTTGAAATTTGAATCCGTTGAATGCGGTATAAAGTAATAATTATACTTAAATAATTATTGAATATTATACTCCTGAGAAAATACATACCATAAACTAAATCTGTCATAGCTAGTTTATATATATTCACTCATGAATGATATTTGAATTGGTAATAGCTGTATATCGAGTTTTCCCAAACTATACCCATTATAGTTTACTTGAAATGATACGGAATTGCTTTGTAAAAACCATTCTGAAAACTATGAAGTTAGATTTCCAAAATAAGAGCGCCCCTTATGCTCAACATAGTACAAAAGGGATAAAATATCTGAATATTTTATTAAACGTGGAAATCGTTGAACTGTATTAATAAGTTTAAAACTTAATAAAATACTTTGTGTTTGGCTTGTATTCCCCCCTGAAAACATTCAAAATCGTAAAAGCGTAGGGGTTTGAATTCACCTCGAGTGAGTGGTTTGAATGAAGGATCGATATGGGATGCTGAGTGTAAAGTGAAGCCTCGAACACAATTGGATCCTAATTTATCATGTAATAACACATATATGATTCAAATTAGGGTATCTCACGACTAGACATGATAGAAAACCACTCTAAGGGCTTGAAAACACTTGAACTAAGTGTTAAAGCCATATGTGGTTGAGTGAGGGAGGTGTACGACCACCCTAAGGGTGTGTGCGGCCCATGAGTGTACGACCGTACACTCATGATGAAATGTGCTTTTGAGGTGTTTCGAAGGTCCCATGCTTGGTTCTAGTGTAAATTGGAGGCCAATAAAAGGTCATCAAAGTGGTTTGCGGCCCTAGGGTGTGTGTGCGGCCGTACAAAGGGATGTGCGGCCGTACACCCTTCATGTTTATGCCCAATTTGACGACTTTAAGGTGAAACAAGGCTAGGGCCATGTCCAACTAGAAAATAGGGGTCAAACCCTCACTTTGGAGAGCCCTTAAGGAGTGTACAGCCACCCTTATGAAGGTGTGCGGCCGTACTCCTTCAGATGATGAAGAACATGATGATTCAAGGCTTTGATCAAGAGGTCCTTCAAGTATAATAAGCTAGGTGATGGAAAACTCATGTTTTTGAGGCCTTGGAAGGGTTCACGGTTGATGAAACTTGAGAGAGGAGTAGTGTGCAGCCAAGAGAAGAAAGGAATGAAGGAAAGGGGTCTACTATATATAGGGGTGGGTGACCCACCACCTTGAGTGTGCTGCCATGGGGTGGGGTGTACGGCCGCACATCCATGTGTACGGCCGTACACTCCTCCTAAGAGAGTGTATGACCCGCTTTTGCTACTTTATGACTTGGTAACTCATCCCTAATTTTTAACCTTGGTTGTACTTGAGCTTAGAACACTTAAACGAACCCTTAAACAGTGCTAAAAGGCCACAGAAACGAGTTTAACATTGATTGATTTGACTAGATGTACAAGATAGAAGTTCAGGGTTGTCACATCTGCACACATAGCATGTAATTTATATAAAATACTTCATATCTATGTGTAAGATGAAAGTAACTATGCACTTAGTTGTTAAGGAGGTGATTCCGAACTCAGACAACGCTCCGCTTCTATTAATTTACTTTCCTCTAACGAAACCTAGTATCATTACCACTAGATTTTAGTCTAATATTTATCGTGACTAATTATTAGTCTTAGTATTATTATTATTATATAAACATTAAACAGGGAAACATGTACTATGAGACTAGAATGTTTGCTTTGCTTACAACTGCTTAATACGAAATTTTAGTTTTTTAGACGCATTAACTAGGGTTGCAGTTTGAGCTGTTTGATTCGTTTGCCACTTTATATATTTGGAAGTAAGATACCATCTGATATCTTATAATAGTTGTAATGAATTCATTTATTTTACAGAATATGCACTAAAAATCAATGAGTCAAATTACAAAGAGATTTACTATGAAATGACCGTCCATGGTCTTTGACCTGAATTCCGGGATTTCACACACAGAAGTCATGGTCCCTTTTCCATGAAGAATTGGATAGGGAAACGATGAGAAGTGAAACACACACACACACACACACACACAGAGGGGGGGGGGGAGTTTGGCCTGTGTGAAACTGTGAGTTGGAACTTTCATTACTTTTTTTTTACTCAAGAAATGCCAAATAATCCATGGGCACTGGGTATTATAAGTAACATGTCTCTTTTCATTAGATTAAAAAAGTTTTACATAGACGTAACGGGTAAACGAGCAACAAACTATGCCGCAACCCAAAAAATAACAATAAATACATTTTAACAAAAAATACCTTTTAAACTAGGACCGGTTAGTTTGTAGGGCTAAAATGACATTATCCTTTTTATTTTATGACAAACTTAATAAAATTGCTATTATGCATATACTTTGTCTATTTTTTGTTAGTTTTATGATTATTTCTATAAAGAATTACCTAGTTGAAAAATTATACAATAGCCTATAAATTAAAGGTGGACAAAATCGGGTTTTTAAATCAACTCGGCCGTTTTAAATCGGTTCGGTTTTCAGAACATAGGACATGTTTGGTACAAAGCGTTTGAAAGCATTTGACAAAACGTTCCGTTGTGAACAAAAAATCTCGTTTAACACTACAAACTTTTAGCGTTTAGTTTAATCAAAATGTTTTAAATCTAAAAACTATCTCATGTAGATTTAACAAAACGTTACCAATTACGAGCTACCAATTTCCACTGTGTAGCACCCGCTACCGGTTAGATTTGACAAACACCCCTTATTGTAATTTCTTTTTATTCGCATTTTATGTTCCTAACGTTTTTCCTCCTAAAAGTATAAGCCTGGTTGGTTTGGTAATAATATGGACTGAGTTTTCGGTTGGGCCCAAAATGGATATTTATCAGAAAAGCAACCCAAAAGAGTGCGAAAAAATGGGGAAGAAGAGGAAGAGGGAGAGAGGAAGCATACATCCCCGGAACAAATACTCCGACAACCCGCCGGACTTCGGTGTTTTGGCATCACTGTATCCTTCATTCCAACCTTATGTCATCTACTCTCGAGAAGGCAAGCCAAGAATCGATTGGAAAGACTTCAATGCCACTCGTGAGCTCACCAGGGTTTTGCTACTGCACGATCACTCCATCACCTGGTATGTTAATATTAGTGCTAAATTAGGTTTTGAAATCAAAATAATCACCCTATGTTTAAAAGAACCGGTAACCATGTTTGGTGAAGATAGAAACATGCTTTGGTTCGATTTGTTAACAAAAATGGTAATATATCATTGAGAAATCATAGATTTGGCCTCAAAAATATATTAGTTTTGGCTTGGTGTTTTTGTTTATCTTTCATTGCTGATTCCAACATGGTTGTATCCCTTTATCGCAGCACAATAGAGAAAAAGAATTCACTCTTCTAGTTGCGAAGAGTGTCCTAGAATTTATTTTGAAATGAATTGTTTAGCTTTGAGATATTAGTACTATTTTGTTATTTGGGCACTTGCTTCCATGGAAAATGCAACAGTTTCTATTTTGATACGTTGAATGGAAATTGAACAGCTTGAAGGCAAGTTTAAAAGCTCAAATCCCCTATTTGCACATCTTAATATCACATAGGATACAAATTGGGCTCACAAATAGTTTTTATTTGTTGTTTGAAGGGTATTTTAGACTTTCTCTGTGTTAGTTTAGCGCCTAGGGTTTAAGGTCATGCACTCTGTGATGGATAAAGAATAATCTGAACCTATAAGTGTAGGTGGATTCCTGATGGACAACTCTGCCCCACAGTACCCAACAGATCTAACTATATTCATTGGATTGAAGACCTTTTATCATCAGACATCATACCCAATTCCCAGGAGGGCAATAATGTCATTAAAGGATTTGATATCGGCACTGGAGCCAATTGCATTTACCCTCTTCTTGGTGCATCCCTTCTTGGCTGGAGCTTTGTTGGAACAGGTATTCCATCCTAAAACACATAAAATTCAACACCCATTATTTCCTTCTTGTTAAAATTACTCAAATACCCTTTTAACACAGATGTGACAGATGTAGCATTAGAATGGGCTGAGAGGAATGTTAAGAACAACCCTCAAATTTCTGACTTAATTGAGATTCGAAAAGTTGACTTTGAGGAAGAGTTGACTGAAAAAGACATGAAAAATGGTGATAAGAACTACCATGGGCCTCCTATACTTGTGGGTGTGGTGAAAAGTGGTGAAAGTTTTGATTTTTGTATGTGTAATCCTCCTTTCTTTGAAACAATGGAGGAATCCGGGCTTAATCCAAACACCTCTTGTGGCGGAACCCTAGCGGAGATGGTTTGTCCTGGTGGAGAACAAGCTTTCATCACTCGGATCATTGAAGATAGTGTTCAACTTCAACAGTCTTTCAGGTACATTTGTGTTAAGGGTAAAATGGTCATTCACTCATATTTAAACAGTCAAAAAAGAAACCGTCTTTATGCGTGTACAATACTTTATCCAGACAGACATCATTACCTGTTCAATCACTTTATCCAGACAGACATATATTTATTTGTTTATTTTAATTATTAATTGTGTGTGTAATTATGTTTAATAGGTGGTATACATCAATGGTTGGAAAGAAATCAAATTTGAAAAGCTTGATAGGAAAATTACGTGAGGTGGGAGTTAGTGTGGTTAAAACTACTGAATTTGTTCAAGGTCAAACATGTAGGTGGGGGGTAGCATGGTCATTTGTTTCTCCATCCAAGAAAATAATATCATCTCATGTGGCATCCAAAAATGTCCTTACTTTCATGCTTCAGGTCAACTCTAAACTCCTGTTTCACATGACATGACAAAACAGATTGTACTGTATTTGCATCTGTCACCAGGACAAAATTGTAAATTTATCGAAGCTTGTATGAATTATTATCCGCAAATTAATATAATAATTTTTTTTATTACTTCAGGGAATTCAACGCCATTTCAGTGCATTTCATGTTCTTCAATCAATCGAATCCTTCTTCCACACAAATGGCGCCACCTGTAAATTAAATGCTGCCTCTTTTCATATTGACGTATGTTTAGTTACATTTTTATTTTTTTTTGTAAAAAGTTAAGGATTTAATGGAGAAAGCCTCATTGTGATTGACACACTAATTTGATGGAAATCAGATACACGTGGCCATGTCTAATTGCAAAGAAATCTTGAAGGATATTGACTTTGTTGACCAATCAAATGATTTACAATTCCGCATAACAGTGAGATTATTATTATTTTTTTTATGAAACAATAGTTAAGTGACTAAATCTATAAATTTTTTGTTTGCTTGTTTTATTATTTTAGGTCTTTGAGCAGATTCCAGGCACTCTTTTAATTAGAGGATCTTTGAAACCTGGAGAAACCTCTGTGCCAGGTTTTTATGTGTTCATTGTATATTTTAATTGATTAAAATTAAAATAAAAGCTATATTACTACATAGTGCAAATAAAATATATAAATCTTGTATAAATGCAAGTAATTCTTTGTGTCTTTTTTGCAGGGTTACTTTCGTCAATATTCCAAAAGTTGGAGGACAAGTTGAGAAATTCATTTTGCCCACAAAAGCTTTCAAACCGTGATCATGTATAATTTAATCATTTACCTTCTCTTTACAAACATCATGATTAATGTACACATCATAAACAAGTTTTTGTCATTTGGGTTTTTTCATATAAGATTAAGCAACACCCACCCACCATCTCGCCGGAGATAAAATTCCGGCAGCTTTTCCGGCCAATATTTTCTTTTTTCACGCCTTCCCTTCGATTCGGGCTTGAGTAAGCCCAACACACGCATCAACAAAATCCTCATTTATAAAATCAATTGAAAATATTTGCAACCGATTTGCACAATCTCTCAAAAAACATTGCGATATGAACAATCTCCCGTACCCGTGGATCCGATTCGTTACCGCTTTCACACACACAATCGGGTTATCCGCCCGCGGTGTAACCGTATTCTCGACCCGATAAAAATACTTCCGTGAACAAACAGGTTGTTGTTGACTCAAATACTTCAAATTACTTTCAAATTTTGTAAAAGGTAAATCCGTATTAATCCAATTATCTTTCAAATACCCCGAGCTCCAAAACGGGCCCCCGGGTTTCACCTCTGGTGATTCCCGAGGCTTCCAAACACAAATCACCTGTTTCGGTAAAATCTCTGCAACTGTTTTCTCAAAAACACAGTCGTCCTGATAAATCAACATCTCCCCGAGATTCTCCAATAAAAATTTCTCAAACGCGGGCGGATCTTTCCGACCGTATTCCGTCCGAATCTCTAGAATCACGATTTCTGATTCCGTCTCCGAAAGGAATCGCTTAACGTCGTCAAGCACAACGTCGATTCCGTACGTCGTTATGATTCCGTGGCAAACTTTTCCGTTTTTCTCGACTCGGATATCGAGGACGCGGGTCCCGCGTACGAGTTGTTGGTAGATGGATAGAGACTGACATTGGGCGAAGGGTCGGGTTATGGCTCTGATTCCGATCTTGTCGGTGGCGGAATCGTGGGTCCCAGGCCAGACGATTTTGTTGATGGGAAGTTTGGTCGGATTCAGGCCGGACATCCAGTTTTTCCGGTCGGGGGGATGGATATCGCATCCTGGGTAATCGCATCCACTTTCTTTTTTGAGTTTTCGTAGTTTTTTTCGTTCGGATACAACAGCTCTTCGACGTTCGATTTGTTTAGACCATTTGGGTCCCATTGCTAGATAAGGATGGAAATAATTAGGGTACATCTTTTGTAACCCTAATTGTGTGATTTGGAGTGCTTTTGGTTATCTTTCTTGTGAAAATTATTGAATTTTGTTGATGAAATGGTTAAGGTAGTTGAAAGTTGATGTTTGAAATTGGATCATTGGTTGGGAGGTAAAATCTATTTGTTTTGAACATGTGTGGTTGGTGATTTGGGAAAATGTCAAATTCCCAAAGTAATAGGAGTATATGACATTAGGTTTTTATGTTAAATATACATACGTATACATATACGTATGAATACGTTATACACATACGTATTTTAGACAGTCACTAGTAGGCCAAGAATGAAACATAATTTCAACAGGAGATGGCCATGAGTATATATTATTTTCCTTTTGACGTTGGCATCATAATAACTCCAATTAATAATAATAATAATAAGAACATCTTAGCCGGTTGTAGCCTTCACACCAATCTTACATAAACCAAGTCAACAACTGTGGATTACTCGTAAGACGCTCCGTCACGAGACTAAGGGGGTGTTGCTTAGCTTTTTAGAGGCCAAAAGTCCTTTTTGGAAAAGTTGCAAAAAATCAGGTTTTCCTGACTTTTCCAAAAAGTTGATTTTCCTTCTATCAAAAATCCAAAAGTAGTTTTTAAAAGTCTTTTGTCAAACATCTTTTGCTTTTCATCTTCTCCTAAAAGGACTTTTGGTCTTTCAAAGGCTAAGCCAAACACCCCCTAATATTCTCCATATAATTGTTTTTCACTATTTTTTATTAAGACCGAGCTAGAGCAAATAAAATAGAATTACAAAAGACACTCGTAATCGGGTTTTCTATAAAGAAGTCCAAATTAAAGTAAATTTATGGTTCTTATTCTTAAAATTTCAAACCTTGCCACATCCAACATTCCCACCGATCACGTATATAGCAAGCGTTATTCATCTCCAAAGCATCCATAAACTTCACATTCCCATTCCAAACCTCTTCCTATAGTCGTGTATTAGATTAATCCCAAAACCTTTTTCGTAAAGTATAATGTGGCACAATCCCTTTTATCAGCCACATTCCCTTTTATCATTAAGACGATTAAAGGATTGAACAATATTGGCCCAAACTCCCCTACTTTTTCATCTTTCACCATTCAAATACCCATACTCTCCATGAATACTTTTTGTATACTTCACCCGCAGAGAGTTTTCGACATTAAAAAAAATATCTATTTTTATTTTTGAAGTAAAGCACAATTAAATGCAAATAAGCTTCAAATTCCCAACCCACCATTATTTTCGACACCATCACCTTATCCCACTTGATATTTTTTCTTAATGTAAGACCCCCCAAAGAAAAAAGAATCTTAAGACCGAATGGATTCTAAGGTATGACTCTGGCGTTTTGAACAACGTCATATAATAGATGACCAAGCCACCCAAAACCAATTTAGTTAGAGTCAAACGACCACCAATCGAGAGCATTGTCACCTTCCAAAGCATTTTTATATTGAACAATGCAAAAAAGATGCGATCTATTGGTTTCTACTCATTGTCATGCTATATACAACATTGTATGGGATTATAGTTCTATCTCTTAATCACTTTTTTTTGCAACCATAAATCCGATGACATCCTTTTGATTTGTACTAACGTCACATGTTCTCTAATCAACAACCTTGGCCACCTTTCCCTATAGGATAAGTCTAGGGTTGCAATCCAATCGAGTTTTTTTTTTTTTTTTTTTTTTTTTTTTTTTTTTTTTGAGTCATTAGAGCTCAAATTCTAGCTGAGCTTGTTCGAGGAGTTGACTTTAGAAAATGAGTTTGAAACATATAGTGAGTCAACACGAGTGTATAAGGACTCGACAAGAATTCTTATCGAGCTTTATATATGTTTTATATTTGTTGAATATATTTTCGAGCTATTCCAGGTTTCCGTTCTTTAGTAGATGTTTTGATAGATATGTTCGAGCTATTAGCTTTCATATTGAGCTCTAATCTTCCCCAAACAGAGCTCAAGGCTATAGGAAAACTAGTTAACCTATCTAATCGAGTCACTTTCAAACAATCTGTAGAAGATAATGTTGAATGTGATTATGTTATTTGAAGTTGTAATACGTGTGAGTTTTGCATATTCTAATTACTTAAAAAAAACAGTATATAAATGATCACAAATGCATTCTTATATATTGTTGAATTTTTTAAATTTAAAATAAAAAAACTTTACTTATATGTTTATAATAATAAGATATGCACATTGCCTATCAATATAGAAAATATTTTTCATAAATATCAAAAACTATTTTTGTTCCCCGTAAAAATATCAATAGCTTAGTCTAATAAGATAATTCTTTGCTTTTAGGGTGAAAAGAGGATTATATATAATTGTGTTTTCGTTGTATAATCAATTTTGTTACAACCGATCATAGATTTGATTATTTTTTTTAGAAAGGCTAACTCTTGAAACCTTAACTTTTTGGAGAAGAACATATTTCTAACACACCTGATGAAGAACATCTTTCTAACACATCTGATACCATTAGACCAAAAACACATTGGTCAAAACAATATGAAACTGAAAACTCGAAATGAGAACTTTATAACCTAAATCAAACCCATCAAAACCCTAATTTGAATAAAAACCCACAAAATTGAAACCCAAACACAAAATTCAATAAGAAAAAAGAAATTAGTTTATACAACTACTACAAAAGGGCTTATCACAAAAATGAACAAATATCAATATGCTATATGGCGATTTGGCCAACTTTTATATACTTATAACAAAATAATCACATATTTCATATTTGGACATTCGTTATTTGAGAAAAGTGAACATACACTCCACACTATTTACCCTTTTTAGGTGATTAAACCCTATCTTTCGAAGATACTATTAGTCTGAAAACTATCTTATCTTCCATACATTTAGTGCTATTTATAGATCTTTGCTTTTTAACATTTGACGAATTCTGACATGTGAAAAGAGCACATGTCAGAATAGCAACATACTTTCATGATTTGTCTATTATAGCCTCCTACTTTTATTTCTTTCTATTACATCATTGTGCTTTGAAAAATCCACCCAAATAAAAAAAACATTTGTCATCCCTATAATTGGGTACAAGTTTTTAAGCATAATATTCCTATAATTGGGTACAAAATGCTATAGTTGGTTAGCTTTTCAAAGCACTCTGTCTTAATAAGAACAAAATTGAAAGTACAATATTGTACCTTAACAATAACTCATTCATGCTACAAATCTATGAATTTTATCCCTCTTTTAATTTACTCTTCAATTATTCAATAAAAAATACATTAATTCATCTCAAAAATAAGTCAAAAAGAAACACACTACCTTCAACTATAAGGAAACAAGTCATCATCATCATCCTTTTCCATTTGAGAAGCTAAAATCTTCAAAACCGATTCAATCTCACCTTCAAAACCACTTGACTTATCCGATACACTAAAACCCTGCAACTTTTTCTCATTTTCCAACCAACTAAACCCTAATTCTTTCCTCACACCTCTTTCCTTCATAATCTTTCTCACTTTTCCAACCAAATCCCACTTCCCTGAAATCGCATATATCCCTGAAAGCAAAACATACCCAACAGAAGAATCAGGTTCCAATTCAATCAACTTTTCACCAGCTTTTATCCCCAATTCCATATTCCCATGAATCCTACAAACCCCAAGTAAAGCTTTCCAAACACGCACATCAGGTTCTACACTCATCTTCTGTAAACAATTCACCACTTCATCAAAACACCCTCCTCTCCCCAAAAGATCAATTAAACAAGCATAATGTTCTTCATCAGGACTAATCCCATGATCTTGAAACATATTGTTGAAGAGATTAACACCCTCTTGAACAAGTCCCGAATGACTACATGAACTTAGAAGTATGATAAATGTAATCCTATCTGGTTTTACTTTTGATCTCACCATGTTGGAGAAAAGTTCTAAAGATTGTTTTCCATGACCATGTTGAGATAAAGCTGATAACATTGTGTTCCATAGTATTGTGTTGTGTGTATCAGTGACAAGATTGAAAACTATTTGACTAAGTTGTAAACTTCCACATTTGGAATACATGTCGATTAGGGAGCTAAGAACTATAGTGTTTGGTGTGAGATGTGATTTTATCAAGAATCCATGGATTTGTTTACCGATTTTGATTGAAGTGAGGGTAGCAGAAGCACATAGGGCGCTACTGAAAGTGAACTGATTTGGGGTGACTTTATGTGATATCATCTTTGTGAAGAGGTTAAGTGCTTCATATGGGAAACCGTTTCTTGTGTATCCTGAAATTAGTGAGGTCCAAGATATGGGATTTTTGTTTGGCATGATGTTGAATAACTCATTAGCTGAATTCATGTCTCCTGACTTTGCGTATGCTGAAACTATAGTGGTCCAAGCAAGAACGTCTCTTTTAGGCATTTCATCGAACAGCTTCCTTGCATAGTGAATTTCACCACATTTTGCGTAGCTGTCGATGATTGAACTACAAAGTACTATATTTGATAAGAAACCAAGATGAAATACCTGACAATGGACTTGTTTTGTGAGTTTGAAGTCTTTTGTTTGGATGCAAACGGTTAAGAGACCTGAAAAACTGAACTCGTTTAGCCTAATGTTTGACATTCTCAACTCTTTAAAGAACTTTAATGCGTTGTTATAATGCCCAGTGTGTGCATAGCCGATGACCATTGTATTCCATGACACAACATCCTTCTCCTGCATTTGGTTAAACAAGGTCTGAGCTGGTTTCATCATCCTTAGCTTAGCATACCCGGATAGCATGTTGTTCCAAGAATACAAATTTTTCATAGACATTTTATCAAACACCTTCCGTGCACAAACCCAATTCCCACACTCTGAATACATGTAAATTAATTGATTCGACAAGAACGTACCGGGTCTCTTCCGACCCGTAACATTCATATGCAAATGAACCCATTTTCCTTCTTTAAGTGATCTGTAATTCGCACACTCTTGCAAAAGAAAAGCTAAAGATCTCGTGTCCAAACGTAGACCTTTACTTGCTAAATTTTCGAGCGATTGCACTGCTTCCTTCAGGCGTCCCTTCGAGCATAAATTATGTACCGATTGGATCACACAAGGACGT